AGCTGGCTATATTTGTGAAATGTTAGCTAGTGGAAAATTAATTTAGACTTGTTAAAACACTTTTTTTTTTAAATAGTTTTTTATTGATTTCAGAGAGAAAGGGAGAGGGAGGGATAGAAACATCAATGGTGAAAGAGAATCATTGATCAGCTGCCTTCTGCACGTTCCCAATGGGGATTGAGCCTGAAATCGAGACATATGTCTGACCAGAATTGAACCTGAGACCCTTCAGTCCATAGGCCAACACTTTATCCACTGAGCCAAACCAGCTAGGGCTTAAACACATTATTAATCTCCTGTCATCTTTAGAGCAACCTGGCAGGTGAATGGGTTCAGCTTCATGATGCACATTTGCAAAAAAAATAAAATAAAATAAAGCACAAACAGGCTGAAGAATTTGTCCTTAACCACAAAGCAATAAGAGACAGATCTATATATATATAAGCCTAATAAGCAGAGTGTCCCCTGGGGAGTTCGATCACTTGCTATTACATGCACTGACCACCAAGGGGTGGCACGGAATGAAGGAAGGCCCTGCTGGCAGCTGGCAGCTGGGGAAGGGTGATCCCAGCCGGCAGACAGCAGCTGCTAGGGATCCTACCCTTGCACGAATTTTATGTACTGGGCCTCTAGTATACTATATCTCTAGATTCCCAGTCCATTTCATCATCCCATTTAGTGTGAGGAAAACAAAGCATTGCATGATCTAAAATCAGAAGCTATTCTATTCTCAACTCTGCCAAGAATGACAACTGTAAGGATCCATCCCCACTTTGGCCTTTGCTCGGGCTGGCTATGAAGGGTTAATTCAAAAATATATAACCAGTATTATAGGCATTGTGGGCTTAGGGGATCTTGTGGGAGCTCAGTGAAAACTTTCAAAGGGAAAACTTTGCTCTCCTCTCTCATACTTTCTAAGAAGTATAAATGTACATTAGCTGAAGGGATTCCAGTCTACAGAAATCACTGAATTCCTCCTATTGCTTTTTAGGAAATTTCTTTTAAGCACATTAGTTTCTCAAAAAGCATTTTTCCCCTGGGTCTATAAGAAGTCTGCCAGGGCAGACTCTTTTGGACTGATGCCATAATTAAAAGCTTAAAAAATTAACCAATAGCATTGGAAACTGAAACTAAGATGGGATACTTCCTTACTTCTATTTCCTTTCAAAATTAAACTCAGATCAGTGAATACTAAGAAACTATGTCCAAAGCAATATGTCTACAGATACATATCCTCTGGCAAATGAAACTAAGAAGAAAATAAACAAATATGACTACATCAAAATAAAAAGCTTCTGAACAGCAAAAGAAACCACCAACAAAATAAAAAGAGAGCCCACTGTGTGGAAGAACATATTTGCCAATGAACATCTGATAAGGGTTTAATTTCCAAAATATATAAGAAACTCATACAAGTTAACAAAAGGATGACAAAGCAAACATCTATAATACTTTCAACAATAACTTTTTTAAAAATAAGCCTAGAGCATCAGTACAGAGAACCACATGGATAAATAGGAAAGATAGTATAATTGTATCTTTTAAGTCTTATTTGAAAGATAATTATATCCTATATAATAAAAGCCTAATATGCAAATTGATCAAACAGCAGCACGACTGGCAGAATGACCTGTCACTATGATGCACACTGACCACCAGGGGGCAGATGCTCAGCCACAAGCTGGGCTGACGGCAGGGGAGCAAAGCAGCAGTGGTGGGGGCCTCTCCCGCCTCCACAGCAATGCTAAGGATGTCCAAATGCACCTCAGGCCCCAGTCGGACATCCCCTGAGGGCTCCCAGACTGCTAAAAGCTGCAGTTCAGGCTGAGGTATCCTCCCCCTCCCACTCCGAGTGCACTAATGTTGTGCACCAGGCCTCTAGTGTTTAATAAAAATCAACTAAATAAAATTTTTTCTCATTAATAACAGATATTTAGTCCACTTAGCAGGTATCTGCCTCAACTTTCCTCTTTGCTTAGATACTAAGAAAAGCAAAATTATCACCATGTATCTGTTTTATTGTTTATGTTGAACTGTTCAGAGCCTCTTTCATCCATGATGTCAGACATTGCTCTGAAGATTTTTGGCATTTTTACTCATAGTCCAACTTTTATTCTGCACAAGCAGCTACTGGAATGACTTTTTCATGTCACTGTTTCTTATAAGACTTTCCCTTGTCAAGAAGAAAGCCTCTTTGCTGGATGAAAATCTTCTGGATTGTATTAGTCACTGACTCATTTCCTTTCCTTTTGTCTTTTTAGTTTCTACAGCTAAGTTCACTGATTTGCCCATTTTAAAAATCCCTGGAACAAACTGACCTAGAATTCAGCAGTCTAGCAATTTCTGCCTGCCCTAAGCAATAATTCATTCACTGTTCTGATGACAGAGTTCCTGCATTTGAGGTTCCAAGTCTTATGTGTGTCCAGTTTGCAGATATGGGCTTTTATCTTGGCCTCTTCACCAAGTTTTGGGTCAGAAACTTACAGGTACACTAGCCCAGTTGTCGGCAAACTCATTAGTCAACAGATCTGCAAAAAGCAGCTCACAAGCCACAGTTTGCCAACCACTGCATTAGCCTAAGCATTGCCTTTCCCTAGCCTAGATCTACATTATTCCAGCCTAGCTGACTATGAAAAGACTTCCCAGATATTTTCTGAGGTTCCAACTATCACCTGCATCAGATTTCCCACTATAGAATAATGCCTGCATTTGGAACAGTATTTCATCTTGCATCTCATGTTACCAATCCCTTGCAAAGAACACAACCATACTGGGACACTGCTGAACATCACTATCAGTCCCAACAAATTTTACTGTATTAGTATCATCTACTTCCTGCTGATATTATCTGCTGTGAATAATCAGACAAGTACTAATGCTAACATAGGACACAAAGTTTTGCCCTTATCTGTCAACCACTGGGAATAGTGATAATTTTAGTTGTCACTATTATCAGTTCAATGGTTAATACTTTTTTCTCTTTGCTTTGCAATTGAATCTTTTTAGAGCTGTACCCACCTTAAATCAACCTCTCTGTTTCCATACTGTTCTCCCAAGGTCTGTCTGTACTAATACCTCTCTTTTATTTTTATTTATTTTTAAACTAGAGGCCTGGTGCACCAAATTGGTGCATGGGGGGGTGGTGGGGAAAGTGCCCCTCAGCCTGGCCTGCAACCTCTCCAATCTGGGACTCCTGGTGGAATAACCAGCAGTCGAACTTCCCTCTCACAATCCAGAACTGCTGGCTCCTAACCGCTCCCCTGCCTGCCAGCCTGATCGTCTCTATCTGCTCCCCTGCTGGCTTGATTGCCCCTAACCACCTTTGCCTCGGCCCCGCATCCAGGACCCAGGATTCCTTCCTCCAGCCAACCACAGGCACTCGGGATCCGGGCATCCCTCCCTCTGATCTGCCATAGATGCCCAGGCTGGCTGCAGACTCAGGGAATGGTGGGCAGGTAGCTTTGCCTATGCTGCAGCCACAAGTGCTGACTCCTGGGACCGCAGGATGGGCGTCTTCTCCATCTCCCAGGCCACAGCCAGCCACAGGTGCTGATACCTGGGACTGTGGGGTGGGCAGATTCTCCATCTACCAGGCTGTAGTCAGCAGGCCAATGCTCTATCCACTAAATCAAACCTGCTAGGGCATATGCCCCTCTTTTAAATGTATTTCTTCAAAAAGCATCCTTTGTTTTTGCAATAATCCTCTTATAGCTATGAATCCTTTTCTTACTTCATTCTTCATGTTATAATATTTTTATTGATATAATATATAAAAATTTTTTACTAACACACCAGAAATCAATTATCCAAATGAGTATTGTTTTCTGTCAAAATAATTATGTTAGAGGCTATTCATTTATTCTAATGATGTTATGAATTGCCAAAACATTTCTGGAATTCTTTGACACTTGCAAGTTTCATATCTTTAACCTTTTTCAAGAAGACCAAACATATTACTTTATAGTATTTTATTTCAGAGCAATGCCTGGCTAACTTACTATTTCCAAAAATTAGCCCTAACCGGTTTGGCTCAGTGGATAGACTGTTGGCATGCAGACTCAAGGGTCCCAGGTTCAATTCTATTCAAGGGCATGTACCTTGGTTGCAGGCACATGCCCAGTAGGAGGTGTGCAGGAGGCAGTTGATTTATGTTTCTCTCTCATCAATGTTTCTAACTCTCTCTCTCTCCCTTCCTCTCTGAAAAAAAGCAATAAAAATATTTTTAAAAATTAGATTTATCTACAAAAGATGAAAAATTGCTATTACTGAGGAATTTTTAAAAGTTGATTAGAGCCATTTAAAAAAATCACCTAACCTTTGACAGTAATTACAGAAGTTTAAAATAAATGTTGAGAAAATACATCATATACTAAATGGATGGCAACCTTTGTATGACTTAATACAATTATCTAACCTCTAACATTATCCTTCCATATATAAAATTAAGATAACTTCCTACAGGGTTATTATAGGAATAAAAGTTTTGGCCCTGACACCTGGTAGCAAATTATGTAAATTTAAATTGTCCCATCTTCACTTAATCTATCTGTTAAAATGGGGTTAATAATGTTGATTGACACTATGCCATAGAAAAAAAGAAAAAGAAAAAAACACAAAAAAATCACAATGTTAAGACATACTCATCTTAAAATTGTATTCAGGCCTTTAACATGCAATGAACTTCTGTTTTTCAAGAAATAGTTCATGATTTGGAAAGTGAAACTTAACTCACTTTCATGGAAAAGAGGGGATGGAGGGAAATTCCATAACTCAGAAGCCACAATCAATACAAATAATACTTTCAATTCTTTAACCTGGGACTTCCCCAAGGAACAGAAGGCAGGTTTTGCTGAGTCAACTGTAATGTTATCCAATCAGAGTTAGAGAGGAAAGGTGCCTTTACAAATAAATACTGCATCCTAGCCCCGTGTTTTCTGAGACATTCCTCAACTGCATAGACATTCCGAGCCTACTGCAGAGGAACCTCCAGTCACAGCACCATGAACCAAAGAGCTGTTCTCATTTTCTGCCTCATCCTTCTGACTCTGAATGGAACTAAAGGTAAGGAACACCAAGGGATATTTAAAGTAAGGTAAAAAATAGAACTGGGTATAAATTCTACAAGTATAGAAATAGTGTATTTGCAGAAGTTTAACAGCTGCTTATGAATGAAGGGTAAAGGAACTAAGATTCTCTCTGGTCACAGAGATAATAATCAGACAATCAAGTGGAATAAATGAGAGGAGGAGAATGGTGGGAGCAAAAGGAGAAGGGGAAAGGAAAAATAGAAAATGTAAAGGAATGAGGAGAGAGAAGAAGACACAGATATCCCCTTAGTTAGCTTAATTAATCATATGAACTATGTTCAATGATATGATCTTAAAATCAACAAGTTTCAATTACATTCAGATAATTGACTAATTAATCATCCAGAGCTGTTTTATAATGGAATAATCCCTTCTCACATTGACTATGTGATGACAGGAGATTATAGTTTCTGCTAAGCACACCAGATGCCTAAGATGAAAGCTGTGCTAACCTCCCCTGCTGTATCTGTCTCTTTTTCTGCAGGAATACCTCTCAATAGAACTACACGCTGTAGCTGCATCAATATTAGTCATCAACCTGTTAATCCAAAGTCCTTAGAAAAAATTGAAGTGATCCCTAAAAGTTCATCTTGCCCAAGTCTTGAGGTCATGTGAGTAGAATATCATCTGATGATAATTTCCCTGGCTGTAATCACATAAAAAATATTTATTGATCACAAAAGCAGTAAAGGGTTTATGATGATTTTAAGACTTCTGTATAGCAAAGGGGAACATGTAGAGTGAAACTTAAATATTTTAAAACCTGTATATTCCATCTGTTTATTGGCCCAACATATTTTATATATTTTCACTCCTATTTACTTTCATAGTGCCACAATGAAAAATAATGGGGAGAAAATATGTCTGAATCCAGAGTCTAAGATGGTCAAGAATATACTGAAAGCACTTAACAAGAAAAGGTAGGTTTGCTGTTGCTTGTAGCATAACTGTCCTTTAAGAAATATCCAATCTCAAGACTATACTTTCAGAGATCATTTCTATAGTTCGTTACAAGAAATATCCAATCTTGAGAAGTTAGAAATATTTGCATTGAGCTTTTCTGTGGGATCCTTGGCTTAAAAGAGTGTTACCAACATGCCCACTCCTCTACCTCCAGTTATTTATAAACCAAGGTGCCATCTCTGTGATATCAAAAGCTACCCTGACTGTCTAAAAGTGTCAAATCACTTCAACCTTGAGGTAGAGCTATAATTATCCAAGCAAAGTTGCCAAACTTCCCCAGCCTTTCCTGGCCTTAAAAAGGAACACCTATAATCCACAATGATTGTGTAGCAGCAGGAAAGCTCACCACACACTTCACCTGAGGACTTGGGGTTATCATGAAATCAATTAAGTTTCAAGAAGAACACAGATTGAAGCCAGAGTTAAGAGTTTCAAACTTTTATACCTTCTTTTTCTTATAGGTCTAAAAAATCTCAAACACCGAGAGAAGCATAATCACTGCACTATTGATAAGGATGGACCATCAGTTCCTTACATTCAGCATATATCAAGCCCAAATTGTCCCTGGATTGCAGTTCTCCTAAAAGGTGATGAACCAGTCACCAAATTCGGTGCTGTTATTCCTGCAGGGCTGTTCAGTAGTAACTCTGCCCTGGTACTGTATTATAAGCTATGCTTAGGTGCCACATTCTTAGTGAATGTGCCAAATACTAGCCCTGCTTTCTTCACCTTTGATACCTTTTAAATGTTATTAAGGGATCTTTCTGCCTCTGGGCTTACCAAAGTTCTTAGAATCTCAAATAACTAAGAAGAATGCAATTGAAATAATTCAATATGCTTTTTAAAGAAAGATCTTTACTCCCTCGGCTTCTACTGCCATCCTTCAAAGGGGCTCAGATTCTTCTGGTGGTTGTATGCTCCTATGTGTGTGTGTGTGTGTGTGTGTGTGTGTGTGTACATATGTAATTTAAAATACATAGAAGGTAGAAATGTCTAAAAATGTATGTGAAAACAGTATTATTTAATGAAAAACTATACAAAGTAGAATTCTTAGACATGTTTCTTACATTGTTTTCAGTGTTTATAACTTGTATAAATTATATGCATGAATGAGCAAAAGAATAAATTTTTATATCTAAGTATTTTCTTTGTGTATCATGTAAGACAAATATGCTGGTTGTTTTTCAAAATAAAAATGATGTGCTTTCTGGAGAGACCAAAAAAAGAATAAACTAATTACAACTATGATGAAGTATGTGGTGTGTCATTTGACTGGGACATTTATATTATGAGATGCTTAAGTTGGAGAATCCATAGCCTAGAGAAGTTGGGATGGGTAGAGGACAAATGAGTTCGAAAATTACTGTTTTCCTAAAAGACAGAGAACATAGACAACAGTGTGGTGACTGCTGGAGGGCGGGGTGAAAAAGGTATACAGGGTATAAATGGTGATGTAAAAAAATAAAATATTAAATTAACTTAATTTTTAAAATGAAATTACCATATTCCTAACTGTACCCTTCTGAAAGGCCCATCATAAAAGGTTCCTTCTTAACTGATGTGGCATAACTGACGAGTCCTGAGCTTCAGACCCTTAAAGCCAACTATCTATGAAACATCTCCACCAGCAGATCCCATTGGAACATCAAATTCCAAAATATATTAAATTCATTCCCTTCTCCCCCAGAGTTATTTCCCCTCCTCTATTATAGTCCCTAGTGTACTAGCATCATCATCCACCCAAAGCAGAGACTCCTTCTTCTCCCCCACTCCCATCTCCACTTAGTCACTAAGAAGATATTTAAAATTCATTTAGTTGGCAAATTATTAGTATCAAGAATATATTTTAAAAGCCCTATGAATAAAAGAGGAAAAGATAGATGACATTTGAAAAATGAAAAACAGAATAGGAGTTTCACAGAGGAAAAGGCACACACCCTTAACTTATGAAAAGATATCCAACCTCATCCTAGCTGGTTTGGCCCAGTGGATAGAGCATCGGCCTGCAGACTGAAGGGTCTGGGCTTCGATTCTGGTCAAGAGCACAGGCCCAGGTTTTGGGCTTGATCCATAGTAGGGAGCATGCAGAAGGCAGCCACTTAATGATTCTTTCTCATCATTGATATTTCTATCTCTCTCTCCCTCTGCCTTCCTCTCTGAGGTCAATAAAAAAATATATTTTTTAAAAACATGTCCAACCTCATTAATTAGGGACATGTCCATTCAAATCATTATGGTTTACCATTTCATATCACCAGCCTGGCTAAGTGTTTTAAGTTGAATAATACCAAGTGTTAGAAAGGACTCAGAGCAATGAGGAATGCCTTCCTACACACACTGTTGGTGAAAAAGAAAATAGCTATGACAACTTTGCAAAACAGTTTGGTATGACCCTATAAAATTTCTTATGTGTGCACTCTATGTCCTAGCAATTCTACTGCTATGTATCTACAGAGATAAATTCTTGCACAGGACTTATATAAGAACGTTATAGCATCACTGTTAATAACAGCAAAACTCTTCACACAATCCAAATGCCTATAAGTAGAATGAACAAATAAATTACAGTGTGCTAATTCAATAATAGTAATTCAATGAATATTATACAACAGTGGAAATAAATGAAGTAAAATTGTACACAACATAGAAGAATTTCAAAAATGATCTTGCAATAGCCCACCAGTCTGGCCTGATGGGCCCCCATTGGGGTGGACTGGCCAGACTCCACCCATGCACAAATTCACGCACCAGGTCTCTAGTTTCATTATAATGCAGGATAGACATTGTAAGGGAAAGTGTATTCGTCTCTACCACAAGTAGAAAAATTATAAAATGATATTTTTAAAAATTAAAATAAAGCCAGAAAACAAGGTTTATGCAGAAATCTAGCTCAGAAGAAGAAGTCTAGACATATATTTAAAAAAATAAAAGGTTATCTTCTTAGGGAAGTCAGATCAGAGGTGAAGAATTACTCCTTTTCTGGGCATAATGTTTACCATGTTCTATGTAAATAAAATTTGATGCTCACAGTGCTAAATGGAAACATCTACTGTTTTATAGTTTGTTATAAATCTCAGAGGAATGTCAAAACTGGTTTGGCTCAGTGGCTAGAGCGTCGGCCTGGGAACTGAAAGGTCCCAGGTTCGATTCCGGTCAAGGGCATGTACCTTGGTTGCGGACACAGCCCCAGTAGGGGGTGTGCAAGAGGCAGCTGATCGATGACTCTCTCGCATCGATGTTTCTAACTCTCTATCTCTCTCCCTTCCTCTCTGTATAAAATCAATAAAATATATTTAAATCTCAGGGGAAGAATCTCTTTTCCTGGGGAAATATATGGGTCACAATGATCAAAATGTTGCAACATGACCTAAGAACACTGGCCTACAAAAAATGGAAAGGGGAAAAGGATTGTATTTCTGTCTGTTAATTTTCTTTGTCATGCCATATTTAGTTAATTCACTGTTCTACATCTGGAGCTTGATAATTGACAATGTTCTCCCTCTCTTTAAAGGCTGGCTGACAACCTCAAGAGAGCAGTAAGAATATGACAATAACTACTCTGGTGATTCTGAACATGTCATTAAACTCCATTTGGGCCTATGTATCCTCATTTATAAAAGAAAAGTAGAAAGAGCAATATTCCAGAAATGTAGCTAAAAATAACTGTCGAGTTAATTTTAAAAATATTTCTAATCCACTCATCTGCTGATGGGCATTTAGGCTGTTTCCAAATCTTAGCTATGGTGAATTGTGCCTTTATGAACATAGAGGTGCATATATCCTTTCTGATTGGTATTTCTAGTTTCTTAAGATATATTCCTAGAAGTGGGGTCACTGGTTCAAATGGGAGATCCATTTTTAGTTTTTTGAGGAAACTCCATACTGTTCTCCACAGCTGCTGCATCAGTCTGCATTCCCACAAGCAGTGCAAGAGGGTTCCTTTTTCTCTGCATTCTTGCCTGCACTTGTCGTTTGGTTTGTTGATTTGTTGATGTTAGCCATTCTGACAAGTGTGAGATGGTAACTCACTGTTGTTTTGATTTGCATCTCTCAGATGATTAGTGACTTTGAGCATGTTTTCATATCTATTTTAGCCTTCCTTATGTCCTCTTTCTAAAAGATTCTATTTGGGTCCGTTGCCCATTTTTTTATTGGGTTGTTTATCTTCCTTTTGTTAAAGCTGTATGAGTTCCCTATAAATGTTGGCGATTAAACACTTATTGCTGATAACATTGACAAATATGTCCTCCCATACAGTGGGACTTTGTTTTGTTGATGGTTTCTTTTGCTGTACAGAAGCTTTTTATTTTGATGTAGTCCCATTTGTTTATTTTCTCTTTAGTTCCCTTGCCCTAGGAGCTGTATTGAAGATTTTGCTTCAGCATATGTCTGAGATTTTGCTGCCTGTGGATTCCTCTAATATTTTTATTGTTTCCCTTTTTATGCTTAAGTTCTTTATCCATTTTGAGTTTATGGGTGGATTAAAAATGGTGGTACATCTACACAATGGAATACTATGCTGCAGTAAAAAAAAAGAAGGAATTTTTACTATTTGCAGCTGCATGGATGAATCTGGAGAACATTACCTAAGCAAAATAAGCCAGTCGGAGAAAGATAAATATCACATGATCTCACTCATTTGTGGAATATAATGAACATAAACTGATGAACAAAAACAGATCCAGAGTAGCATCGATCAGGCTGTCAAACTTCAGAGGGAAGGTAAGGAGTGTGAGGGGTAAGGGGGAGAGATCAACCAAAGAATTTGTATGCATGCATATAAGCCTAACCAATGGACACAGACACCAGAAGGGTGAGGGCATGAAAGGGGGTGGGGGGACAAAGGGAGGATAAGGACATATATGTAATACCTTAAAGAAAAAAAGAAAACTTAAAATGCCAGGGAAAAAATTATATATCATAGGATTATAAGTGCTTTTATTTCCTTTTGATTATCTTTGCTTTCCAAATTTTCTACAAAAAACATTTTTACTGTTTTTAATCAGAAGGAAACATTTTAAACAAATAGAAACCATTTTTTATCAGAAGGAAGAATTTTAAGCAAATGGAAACCAACTTTCAAAGACACTAAATTAAATTATGTTGATCTTAAAAGGCTAGGATTTATGTTTTCAGTGACCTTCATTAAATTACTCATCTCTGAGAAAGATTTGAACTGAAAACAGAGTTATATAAATACCAGACCTTTTCCATGCTAGGCTAAAAATGAGTGGCTTGTGTTAAACATCATTAAACTATTAATGGATACATTTCAGGTCATCAGATAATAGTGTTTGCTTTTACTAGTCTTCCTGCTTACCCTCTTGCCAGGTACCAATTTTCTATACACAACAGCCAACATAATACTTTAAAAATGAGATGGTGGCTCTCCCCTGGTCTCATCCTTCCAATAGTATAGCATCACACTTTAAATAAAATCCCAAATCTTCCTCATAGTCTGTAAACCTCTATATAACTCTCATATCTCATCCCTG